AACTTTTCTCTATTCAATATAAGTATTTGCGTAAGTTTTTGTGGACATTTAGGGGAGATATTGGGAGTTGGGGTAATATCTGTTTTATATTTGTGAAACAACAAATATATGCCCGCAAAAAATGGTCTGGGATAACCAATAAATACCAGATTTTATATCAAAACAAAAAGCTAACATTGAATTCAATTTGAAGAGCTTGACGTTGATGTTCAAAGTTAGTCTCAATATTCCGAATCATAATATCTTTTGAATGAATGTCGGCAGCTGCTTTCTCCATAAAAGTTTTTGCAAGGTCACGCTCTTCACGAAGTTTCAGCACCTCTTTCATAGCCATGTCGCGATCTTCGCAAAACTTAGTAATCTCTGTTTTCTTCTTTTCCAATTGCTCACAAAATTGTTCACATTTCAAACGTAACTTTTTGTTTTCATCACCCAACTAAAAACAATTAAATCAAAGAAAAAAAAAAGAAAAACAAACCTGGTGAGTCTCAATAAGCTTGTTCTTCACAGTTTGTTCAAAGATGACATGACGTTCGTCTTGCTCGTTCTTCTCTCGTTTCAATTGAGCATTCTCAGCGCCCAATTGTTCCAACTCCCTAAGCTGTTTTTCTAATTGTGCGGAGAATTGATCGTTTTTAGAACGCAGTTTCTTATTTTCATCATCCATCTTAAGTGTAAGTATAAATAAACAAAAATAGCAAACCCCAATGTATCGCGAGGCCAATGTACCGCTTTTGTGAGCTTAACATGGTTGAAGATCACGAATCCATGACGCGCAGTTATGATTTCAGCTCGTCGGAGTGCATCGAACCATAACATTATGTCCCGGATTCGATTTCAACAAAGTTACAGCTCGCCAATACATTGGCCTTGCGGTACGTCGACTCCCCAATAATTAAAGACTAAAGAAAAGAAATTGTTCTTGTATAATATGTAGAGTTAAAATTAAAAAAGAACCTGTTTCGATGCAACAGTCTTGTTTTTAATCGTTTCCTCATAGACGACAAGTTGTTCGGCCTGTTCATTCTTCTCTTTTTTCAGCTCCGCATTTTCAACCCGCAAATTCTCCAACTCATCGTTAACCTCAGAAGTTGAAGATGACACTAATATGATTTAAACAACAGAATAAAAAGTAAAAACAAAACCTTTGACTGCTTCCTCCATTTGTTTAACAACCACAAAATCACCACTAGCTTCATCATCTTCAGAAACATGAACCTCCTTATTATCAGTTTCCTTCTTTGGACTTTGCCTTTTAGAATGATTACGCCTCCCTTTTACCTTGCCTTTTTCTGCAACCAAAGGTTTAGCCATATCATTTCCATAAACCTATAATTTTATTTAAATATTAAATCATAAGGATTAATATATTACCTCTTCAAATGTTGTTTCTCGCGTTAATAATTTATAAATAGTAAAGCATGATCCAATAACGATAGCAACAACAGCAACCAAACCTCCGATTGTAATAATATCCATTTTTCACTAGAAAAAAATTATACGTAAAAAAGAAATAGAAAAGTACGACTGATAATGCTCAAAGGACTGATAATTTTGACTGATTGTAAGTCAGACAAACACTTCATCATATATTTGACAAAATAAGTTTTGGTAATTCGTTTGATGACATTACGACATTTTAATTTGAAACGGCCAGTTTGTCGCGAGTCGGAAGTTCCAGTTGAGTCCCTCTGGAAAATTTGAACCTCATTGGAATTAAATTTATTTTTACCAGAATATTCGACAGAAACAAACTTTCTTTATTTAATTTTGAAGATAATGATAAGATTTATTCTGATTCAGAATCGTGCAGGTTTATTTTGATAACTAAAACATTTTTTGATCCAATTTTTATATTATTTAGGAAAAACTAGGCTAGCGAAATGGTACATGCATTTTGATGATGACGAAAAGCAAAAATTGATTGAAGAAGTACATGCAGTAGTTACCGTTCGTGATGCAAAGCACACAAATTTTGTTGAGGTTTTTATTTGACAAAATTTTTTTATGTCTAAAAAAGGGTACTTTCACGTTATCCCTATAGACGCTGACTTTTTTGCAGACACATTTATGTACGGAATAGTCAGACTTTCCTACTCAATTTCACTCTATTTTCCTGGGCATCATTCAGTGAGATAATTCTGTGCATATAAATGTGTCTGCAAAAAAAGTCCGAAAATTTGTAGGGATAGTGGAAAATTACCAAACAAAATTCTTTTTAGTTTCGCAATTTCAAAATTGTTTATCGGAGGTATGCCGGACTTTATTTTTGTATTTGTGTTGACATAATGGACAACAATTTGTATTACCTCGAAGCAATACACAATTTTGTGGAGGTTTGATTTAAGAGATTTTGATAAACAAAATTTAAAAAAAATTTCAGGTCCTTAATGAGTACTTTCACAATGTTTGCGAGCTCGATCTTGTCTTTAATTTTTATAAGGTTTGTCTTATAGTAAGGGATCAATCCAAAAGGTCAACTCCAAATATTTGAGCGGATAAGGAAGGATTTGTGGAGGATATCAATGGTCAATAGGGAGTTGATCTTCTGGTTGATCTTCCGTACTTTTAATATTTTAATTTTATAGAAATATTTAAGGTATATTCGGTTGTGGACGAGATGTTTCTGGCAGGAGAGATCCGGGAGACGTCACAAACAAAGGTACTGAAACAGCTAATGATGCTTAGCTCCTTAGAATGAAGTTTTTCCCATTTCTTTGCATTGGAAAGAGCTCTTCGCGGGTCGGATGATACCATTATCAGCTAGATTTGATGATTCAGAACAAAATTATGGGTCATCCAAACCATTAGAAAAAGAACCTAGAAATTTCTCAAGAACTCGAAAAATAATTGATAATATTTACCAATATATTCCAATATACATTTAAAAATAAAAAGTCAAGAAAAAGAAAGAACGAAATGATTTAAATAAGTGTAGGAATTAAATTACTTGATTTATTATGACTTCATTCTAAGGAGCTAAGCATCATTAGCTGTTTCAGTACCTTTGTTTGTGACGTCTCCCGGATCTCTCCTGCCAGAAACATCTCGTCCACAACCGAATATACCTTAAATATTTCTATAAAATTAAAATATTAAAAGTACGGAAGATCAACCAGAAGATCAACTCCCTATTGACCATTGATATCCTCCACAAATCCTTCCTTATCCGCTCAAATATTTGGAGTTGACCTTTTGGATTGATCCCTTACTATAAGACAAACCTTATAAAAATTAAAGACAAGATCGAGCTCGCAAACATTGTGAAAGTACTCATTAAGGACCTGAAATTTTTTTTAAATTTTGTTTATCAAAATCTCTTAAATCAAACCTCCACAAAATTGTGTATTGCTTCGAGGTAATACAAATTGTTGTCCATTATGTCAACACAAATACAAAAATAAAGTCCGGCATACCTCCGATAAACAATTTTGAAATTGCGAAACTAAAAAGAATTTTGTTTGGTAATTTTCCACTATCCCTACAAATTTTCGGACTTTTTTTGCAGACACATTTATATGCACAGAATTATCTCACTGAATGATGCCCAGGAAAATAGAGTGAAATTGAGTAGGAAAGTCTGACTATTCCGTACATAAATGTGTCTGCAAAAAAGTCAGCGTCTATAGGGATAACGTGAAAGTACCCTTTTTTAGACATAAAAAAATTTTGTCAAATAAAAACCTCAACAAAATTTGTGTGCTTTGCATCACGAACGGTAACTACTGCATGTACTTCTTCAATCAATTTTTGCTTTTCGTCATCATCAAAATGCATGTACCATTTCGCTAGCCTAGTTTTTCCTAAATAATATAAAAATTGGATCAAAAAATGTTTTAGTTATCAAAATAAACCTGCACGATTCTGAATCAGAATAAATCTTATCATTATCTTCAAAATTAAATAAAGAAAGTTTGTTTCTGTCGAATATTCTGGTAAAAATAAATTTAATTCCAATGAGGTTCAAATTTTCCAGAGGGACTCAACTGGAACTTCCGACTCGCGACAAACTGGCCGTTTCAAATTAAAATGTCGTAATGTCATCAAACGAATTACCAAAACTTATTTTGTCAAATATATGATGAAGTGTTTGTCTGACTTACAATCAGTCAAAATTATCAGTCCTTTGAGCATTATCAGTCGTACTTTTCTATTTCTTTTTTACGTATAATTTTTTTCTAGTGAAAAATGGATATTATTACAATCGGAGGTTTGGTTGCTGTTGTTGCTATCGTTATTGGATCATGCTTTACTATTTATAAATTATTAACGCGAGAAACAACATTTGAAGAGGTAATATATTAATCCTTATGATTTAATATTTAAATAAAATTATAGGTTTATGGAAATGATATGGCTAAACCTTTGGTTGCAGAAAAAGGCAAGGTAAAAGGGAGGCGTAATCATTCTAAAAGGCAAAGTCCAAAGAAGGAAACTGATAATAAGGAGGTTCATGTTTCTGAAGATGATGAAGCTAGTGGTGATTTTGTGGTTGTTAAACAAATGGAGGAAGCAGTCAAAGGTTTTGTTTTTACTTTTTATTCTGTTGTTTAAATCATATTAGTGTCATCTTCAACTTCTGAGGTTAACGATGAGTTGGAGAATTTGCGGGTTGAAAATGCGGAGCTGAAAAAAGAGAAGAATGAACAGGCCGAACAACTTGTCGTCTATGAGGAAACGATTAAAAACAAGACTGTTGCATCGAAACAGGTTCTTTTTTAATTTTAACTCTACATATTATACAAGAACAATTTCTTTTCTTTAGTCTTTAATTATTGGGGAGTCGACGTACCGCAAGGCCAATGTATTGGCGAGCTGTAACTTTGTTGAAATCGAATCCGGGACATAATGTTATGGTTCGATGCACTCCGACGAGCTGAAATCATAACTGCGCGTCATGGATTCGTGATCTTCAACCATGTTAAGCTCACAAAAGCGGTACATTGGCCTCGCGATACATTGGGGTTTGCTATTTTTGTTTATTTATACTTACACTTAAGATGGATGATGAAAATAAGAAACTGCGTTCTAAAAACGATCAATTCTCCGCACAATTAGAAAAACAGCTTAGGGAGTTGGAACAATTGGGCGCTGAGAATGCTCAATTGAAACGAGAGAAGAACGAGCAAGACGAACGTCATGTCATCTTTGAACAAACTGTGAAGAACAAGCTTATTGAGACTCACCAGGTTTGTTTTTCTTTTTTTTTTCTTTGATTTAATTGTTTTTAGTTGGGTGATGAAAACAAAAAGTTACGTTTGAAATGTGAACAATTTTGTGAGCAATTGGAAAAGAAGAAAACAGAGATTACTAAGTTTTGCGAAGATCGCGACATGGCTATGAAAGAGGTGCTGAAACTTCGTGAAGAGCGTGACCTTGCAAAAACTTTTATGGAGAAAGCAGCTGCCGACATTCATTCAAAAGATATTATGATTCGGAATATTGAGACTAACTTTGAACATCAACGTCAAGCTCTTCAAATTGAATTCAATGTTAGCTTTTTGTTTTGATATAAAATCTGGTATTTATTGGTTATCCCAGACCATTTTTTGCGGGCATATATTTGTTGTTTCACAAATATAAAACAGATATTACCCCAACTCCCAATATCTCCCCTAAATGTCCACAAAAACTTACGCAAATACTTATATTGAATAGAGAAAAGTTATGTATGGGCGTTCTGATCATTATGATTATTACTAAATATTTCGCAAAAATTGGTCTGACAAGGGAACATTTCGAACTGTGAGTAAAAAGTTCGAAATAAAAGTTATACCATCGTGTAGAGCATCGTCGAAAACCTTTATGGTTTCCGGCTTTTTCGGCTCCGACCCCCATTTCGAAAAGTTATAGGTCTTCAAAGTTTTCGTTTTTTGGAGCGGTTGAGTCGCCCTCATAAAGAGAGAATTTTTTTTTATTAGGAGAGAAATAAGACTCCCATCCTCCTTTTTTCCTTTCCTTTTCTTTTCCAATATTAGTTAAAGAAAGAGAAAAGGAGGAGAGAAAAGAAAAGGAAAAGAGGCATCTCTGCCTTGCAGCTAATGTCAATTAAAAAGGAACGAGGAGATGGCAGACATGCCTCTTTTCCTTTTCTTTCCTCTCCTCTTTTTCTCTTTCTTTAACCGACATGGGAAAAGAAGAAGAAAGGAAAAATGGAGAAAAGGAGTCTCATTTTTCTCTTTGGTAAGACAAATAATAAGAAAAGTGAGGGCGACTCAACCGCTCCAAAAAACGAAAACTTTGAAGACCTATAACTTTTCGAAATGGGGGTCGGAGCCGAAAAAGCCGGAAACCATAAAGGTTTTCGACGATGCTCTACACGATGGAATAACTTTTATTTCGAACTTTTTACTCACAGTTCGAAATGTTCCCTTGTGAGATACCCCAAAAATACTTAAAATTTATGTCAATTTTTTAAAAGAATGAACGTGGTCATTTTAAAAACGTGGAGCAAGAATGGTTAAATGCTAATGGACAATTAGCCAAAGAACTTACTAATGCTAATGATTTTGTTCGGGAGCTTGAGTATAAGAAATCACAAATTGAGCAGAAACTCGTTGATGAGCAGGTTTTTATTTTCTAAAAAAATTTATTACAAATATTTTAGAAAATTCGAAGCGATGCATATACGCAAATTGAGAAATTAAAAGTCGAGATGAGCCATGCTTCTGAATTGTATAATAAGCTTCAAGCGAAATTTGAAGCTGTTCAGGCTGAAAATGAAAAATTAGTTTCTGTCAATGCTGAATTAAAGAAGGAGGCCACTAATTTCCAATCTCAAAACAAAGCTATGAGTCAATCATCTGTTGAATTGGATCAATTCAAGGTATATGATTTATTTAGACAATTTATGATAAAATAAGTTTAGGGTACAATTGCGGAATTGAATACAAAGCTGGATCAACAACGTTCTCGTAATCAAGAGTTGAGAGATGCTAATTATAAGCTGATGGATACTGTGAAGGTTTCTAATTAGTGTGATGAATATTTTACTATATTATAATTTAGCTCCTCCAATCTTCCAAATCGCTTGTTAATGGTACGCCTCCCATTACCAATGGAAACATTTCCGGTACTCATGTCGAACAAGATTCTGCGGTCGTTGAAAAGCTCGTCTTAGAAAACAAACAATTCAAGTCAACATTGGATTCATTGGTATTATTACTTTATTATTATTTATCTAAATTTTTAATTGAGTTAAGTTTTTATGTCCCTTTTTTAGGCAATGAGTATTTATGGTAGACTTATTTGGGGTGTCCTCTGATCCACTTACTGGGAAGTCCTCTTACTGATTTGGATGGGTCCTCTTATTTTCTTCATTATAATTTTTGTTTATCTTGTATTTATTAGATAATTTGTAAATTAAGAATAAGCAACTGGAAGAGGTTTCAAAGATTGCGTTGGAGGTTGAAATTGATAGAGATGCTAAGGTTGCACAAATCGAGAAAATGTTAAATGAAGCAAAATCGTAGTGTACGTAATATCTAATTTCTTTTCTTTTTAATTATTACGGTTAATGAGGGTGATGCGACTTTTGCGGCGCGTACACTTGCGGCTCAGACATTTGCGGCCCAGACACTTGCGGCTCGCCCCTATTTTGACACTTGCGGTCCCGACACTTGCGGCTAAGAAATTTTCGGCGCAGACATTTGCGGCTATCAACTTGAGGCCCAGACACTTGCGGCCCAGACTATTGCGGTTTTGCCATTTGAGGCTCACCCCTATTGTGACACTTGCGGCCCGACATTTGCGGCCTCAACATTTGCGGCCCCGACATTTGCGGCGATGATTAAAAAATTTACTAAATTAAAATATTATCAGAATTAAAGTATTATAAACCGGACCGGATCCGGTGGTCCGGAATCCGGGTATTTTGATAAAACCTGTATTTCCCGGATTTTTATCAGGAAAATTCGATCCTGGTCGAACAAAATACCCGGATTCGGTCCAGGTCCGGTATAAAAAATAATCAAAATCACAAAATTTCGTAAAAATAAAAAAATTGCAAAAAATTTTTACAAAAATTCATGTCATTAGGAGTGTATTTTTATTTCGTTTCGTCCGAAAGTTTATTTTATTTTGCTCCGAAACGAAACGAAATGGATAAAAGGGCACGAAATAGCGAGGCGAAATGAAACGAAATTTCGGTTATCTCTGGTCCGGAAACTTGGAGAATAAACTACATAGTATGTATTTTTTAAAAACTTGGAGAAATAAACTTGGAGAAAAATTAGTATTTTTTAAATTTTAATTTACTAAATTTTTTAATCATCGCCGCAAATGTCGGGGCCGCAAATGTTGGGGCCGCAAATGTCGGGCCGCAAGTGTCACAATAGGGGTGAGCCTCAAATGGCAAAACCGCAATAGTCTGGGCCGCAAGTGTCTGGGCCTCAAGTTGATAGCCGCAAATGTCTGCGCCGAAAATTTCTTAGCCGCAAGTGTCGGGACCGCAAGTGTCAAAATAGGGGCGAGCCGCAAGTGTCTGGGCCGCAAATGTCTGAGCCGCAAGTGTACGCGCCGCAAAAGTCGGCTAATCTTAATGAGCTATATATTATGTACTATCTCTTATGTACAAGTAGAATTATAAATTGATTTGTATTAATCTAAGAATTTACACAAATTTGTAAATTTCATCATTTTTCGAAAAGGTCCAACCACATCAGGAATGGTTTTTTGTTCTTCTACCTTCCTCTTCTGCTTTTTTGGCCTCTTATGCCAGAAATACACCCCTAAACCACAAACTTTACAATTACCAGGGAAATTAAGATTTTAAGAGTAATGATTTGTTATTAGCTTTTCTCATACTTTATCAGTAGAAAACTTTAGTGGACCAGTCTTTAAGTAAATAAATTGGCATTGATTCAAAGAGGTGTCAGCTGTCATATACTCTCTAATTCTCTCTTAACAATAGGGTGAGAGAGAGAGATTGATTTGGTAAAGTCCTCCAAGGAGAGATCTCTGCTTTTTAAATTTTGAGCGGCTGTTTCTAGATCACGCTAAATATCTAAAAGAGAGGAATAAATGGCAGAATAATGGAAAAAATGGATAAATATAGTACTCAATATGTTTTTAAGGAAGTTTAATAGAAAATAAGTTTATTATTTAATCTTATAATTGTTTATCCGTTCTACATACAATAGTATTTTTAGAATGTATAATGGAGATAATTTCTCTTATCGAACCATCATTTATTAGATTTTTTGTTAAATTTAGACTACAGTTGTACATTCTTTTACTTTCTCAAGCTCACTTTTGTATATTTGTTTCTTTAATGTCTAAAGGTAATTTTTGACATAAAACTGCCTAATAGAGGGGGGGGGGGGGCACGACCAAAAGGGCGCAATTTTTAATTTTGCCACACAGTTCTAGCCCTACCACATACTTTTGGAAGAACCTGCACTTTTGAGAAAGGATTCGAGGAGGATTGCGCGTTGTGGAATTTTGTTAATTCAAAACAATCTTATCTACAAATGCATAATAATACATATTTTGATAATAATAACACTTCAACAACATTGTCTATATATAATTTCCGCATTATGGGTGGCCATGACATTAATTCTAGTAGTTTCAATTAATTCTACAATTTATTCTTTGATGTTTAGATCATTATGCTTACTATCGTTTTTCTAATGATATGAACGAATCTCATGTTGCTATGATAGTTAGTCCATTTTTTGCTCACACTGATACACAATGCGAATTGCGTTTTCGGTTTAATCTGAGAGCAGATTCCAGGTTAGAGTTTCGCAACTCAAAGAATACTCATCGAATAGCAATTGAATTCATCTAGGTCTGGAGCCGGGTTGTTAGTTACAACGGAGCAGTTGTCACTCAGACGTTCATTTAGCAATTCAAAAGAGTCGACCTCTAATGGCAACCAAGCAATGGATGAGGAAGATGAGGCAGATTGGATTCGGCCTATATTAAGGTAATCTTGTGCAAATTGCTAGTTAAATGCCTCATGATTTGTAGCAAATTAATTTGCACATTTTTATTAAGGGAACGCTTCGAACCGGATACTTCGACTGATGCTTCTGCGATGTATGTTTTTTTGCAAACACTTAGAAAATAATTGAGAAATTAAAGATGGTCTCATGGGCGAGTTCTTCTTGGGCAATTTGATTTTCCAACACGAATACGAATTGAATGTCATCCCTCTACAACAGCTATGTCAGATGGTGGAGTTCTCAATGTTGAATGCAAAATTGATGATTTACATTTGATAAACTGTGCAGGTAAGTTCAGTTAAAATTTCCTTGTGATAATTTAAATTAAAACAGAGAAAGAATGGAGATCTACTGATGATATGAGTGCATGCCCAAAAGGAAGAGATTCATGTCGTCCTTTTGGGGCAGATCAGCAGAAGCGAATTTGTCTGGATGATTATCAAATTTGTGACATGGTGGGTCATATATTCTACATGTATAGTATAATTATATCAATAGCATGCTGATTGTGCTGATGGTGAGGACGAGTCGGATGAGCTATACAAATGCTGTAAGTCTAA